TTGGTCGCATGCAAGGCAAATGCCCTACCCACTGTGCTATTGCTCCAGCCCCAACCCAAGTCTTATAAACATGCCTGGGGGACTGGGATAATCCAAAAAGGGGGGAGGGGTCCCCAGCACTACCAGGTATGGCCCCGGTGGCCCCCAGCACCCAAGTACTGTGGGGGGTGGCCCACAGTACTTGACCACTTTCAGGAAGCATTAGGGAAGACTCCAATAAAGTAAGTGAAATAGCACTGTCCTCCTGTTGTTCATTGATTTGCTCGAGCGGCCACCAGTAATGTCTTCATTGTGAGACTTGTTACTGTGTTTGGTATATCGAATACATCACGGGGAGCTTGCCAGGCTCTGCCATGCGGGCACGATACTCTCAGTAGCTTGCTGGGCTCCTCGAGAGGGATGGAGGAATCGAACCCGGGTTGGCTGCGTGCAAGTCAAACGCCCTACCCGCTGTGCTATTGCTCCAGCCCAAGTGAAATAAGTCCCTCATAATTAAGAACTGTCCACAGAACAGGCCAAGACCCCCATTAAAGACTCTTGAGAGAGCACAAGTCATTAAAACCATCTGGAGGACGGAAACCCACTTGGTACATTAAACCGTGGGCCTTATACAGATTTGCACTGTGTGCCTAATACCATGCACATCCCCCCAGACTCTGGATGCAGGCTTCCAGGGCATCAGGGCCAACTTTAAGAAGCTACACAGACTCCCAACCGCGCAGGAGGCGGAGCAGGGTCCTGATGGCTGGGCCCTGATTAACCAAAGATAGACTGGACAGCCAACATTCTCTCTGAGAAAGAGAAACTAGATGAATTAACTCTAGTCTAGTCTTACTATGAAAATAAGAATGAATTCTTCCTAGAGACCACTTACAAACAGGAACAAAGAGAAGGACTCCTGCAAACACGCAGGAGTCACGTGACTGGCCTGAGTGCATACCAGCTACCCTAGTTCTGTACCCCAAACACTAACATGTCAGGAAAAATGAGGCGGGGATGTGGTTTTATGAACCACACAGTGACAATTACTTTTAATTACACATTAAAATACACACACACACATACACACACACACGCACACACACCACAATCATATTCTTTTACAAATGCTACTGGTGTGGTTTTATTTATACCAGACTCATTTTCTGCCATTTGATATTTTTGCTATCAGGAAACATTTTCTTGCCAGTTTTATTCTAATATAACTTGACAAACATCACGATTAAGTTCAAGGGGTATGCCACAAGTCTTGTGAAATGAGTATGTATTATAATTGAGCATTCATCATCTCATACATCCAAGAGAGCAAAAAAGTCTTTTCCCTTACAATAAGAAGTCTGAACGATTTAAAAGCATTCTGAACGATTTAAAAGCATTCTCAAAACAACTCCTTATATATCACAAAGCAGTGTTAAAACCCGAGTCCCCTCACACACACTCCATGTCCTCAGTGCTATATCTATACGTCTGGAACTTCAAACACCTTCTTCCAATCCTACAACCCATCTGCCTGCCTCTGGTAACAACAAATATTATCGTCTTCTTTACTTTTAAGATTCCACATGTGAGACAATACAGTATTGATCTGACACTCATTTCACTTACCACAGAATCCTTAAGGTTCATTTACGGTGTCACAAATGGCAGAATTCCCTGTTTTGTTTTGTTTTCTTAATGGCTAAATATGATTCCCCCGCACACATATACCACTGCCTTTTTATTTATTCAACCAGGCAGTGCTTTATAATCAACAATAATTGGAATAGAATACAGTCGTTTGTAAAAAAGGAATTAAATTCTTCACTAGGTAGACAAAGAATTTGCAAACTGTGGCCCACAGAGTCTTGTGGCCATTCAGAGAGCAGAAAACACAGACCAAACAGACCCTCAGTACAACCACGCCAGTTTTGCTTTAATCTTTACCTTTTTGGAAGGGGCATTCAGACATGCTTATTTTTAAATTTTTAAAATGCCTTTGAATTTTTTTAAAAAAATTGGATCAGACATGCTTTAAGAAAAATGCTTGAAAACCAAGGTATCAGATGAATTATTAAGATGCCTTCAAGTATTAGATTTCACAAAATCCTGAGAAACAACTTACAGACTGACACCAAGGAAGACTGAATTATTTACTGCCTCCAAAGCCAGCACATAGAACTCTATCCTCTTCTAGAGCGAGAGGGAGATTCCAAGTATTAAGGTTTATGAACCACCCAATGCCAATTACCTTTGATTACACATTGAAACACAAAAATGCACATACACACGGATCAAAGATCACAACTCTCAAACACTGGAGAGCAATAAGTAACAATGCCTTCACATCAGGATTTTAAAAAGTCACTTATGATGTCTTCCTCCTTCCTTAAAAAGGATGACATCCATTTCACTCATGGTTTAATTTTTGGATTTTGGGCTACCCCCGGCTTTGCTCAAGGCTTATTACTCTTGGCTCCGTGCTCATGGGTCACTTGTGGCAAGCTCAGGGGACCATGTGTGATGCTGGGGATCAAACCAGGGTCAACCACATGCCAGGCAAATGCCCTACCCACTGTCCTATCTCTCCGGTTCTCATTCATTTTAAAATTATTTGAGTAGCCACTCTCCACTCTGCACTGAGTTCACCTTTTGAAGAGAGGAAATGATAAATGAGACCTATATCATCTAAGTTTTAAAGGAAATCTGAGACTTTCCTTAACTTGGCAAGAAAGAGTTAAATTAAAGGGCCAACTAGAGGCAAAGGAGCGGCAAAGAGAGAATGCCTCAGCAGAGGGAGAAATCACTTCCAAATATAAGAGGACTCTTAGGAGAGTGGTCTAAGTACAGCTGAGGAAGGGAGAGATTATCTCTGTGTTCTGATACGTGATCACAACCATTGTCCAACACAGCTGAGAAATGGAAAAGAATATACATAATAAAAGAATCTAAGAATAAAGGTGCAGAACACTCATAGAAAAGGGACAGATGAATTTCCTTGGGGTAATGGGGAGGGTAAACAAAGGGAGGAGAGAGGCGGTGGAAAGGAAGTTTATCTGGGCCCTGGAGATGAGCAGGGGTCTGCCTGAGAGGGGAAAAGACAGCGCAGGCAATGCCAGACAGAGGGAGGGCAGGAGCAGAGAGACCAGGCAGCGTCTTCCGGACCGGCCATGGATGAAGAGGCCACGCTGTATTGGGAGGAGCTTCCAGCCCCATGCCTAGGAGTCCACATTACAGCAGGGATAAACATTCTAGGCAAGAAGAATGGTATCACAGAAACACAAGTCCTTTTTTTTGCTTTTTGGGTCACACCCAGCAATGCTCAGGCGTCACTCCTGGCTCAGAGCTCGGGAATCCTGGCAGTGCTTCGGGGACCATATGGGATGCCGGGGATTGAACCCCAGAGTCGGCCATGTGCAAGGCAAATGCCCTACCCCCTGTGCTATCTCTCCAGCCCCCCACAAGTCCTTTTTTTAACATATAAATTTTCTGAGGGCCAGCGTGATAGTGCAGTGGGTAGGTGACCTTGGTTTGACCCCTTGCATCCAGTATGGTTCCCTGAGAGCCGCCAGGAGTGATCCCTGAGCAGTCAGAAGTAACTTCTGAGCATCAAAGGGTGTGGCCTAAAGCAAAACACAAAATGACAAAAAAATTTTTTGAGACTGTAAAAATAAAGTCTCCACTGGCTACTAAAAACATGGAGAATACCAATTCCAGGACACCTTAAAATAAACCCAAAGATCTTACCTACCGGACATAAAACTCACACAGCCTACCTATGCAGGTTTGATCCCTGGCACCATATATGGTCCCCAGAGCCTTGCCAGGAGTGAACCCTAAGCACAGGGCCAGATGTAAGCCCTGAGCACTGCCAGATGTGGCCTACTAAAATATAGTAATCCATATATACTACCAATAGCAATTAAAACATAAATCTGGAGCTCAGAAAAAGTTCTCAAATATAAATTTTGGCCACCAACTTGTATATGCTACTGACAGCTAATGTCCTATGAGTGGCTAAGGTCACTGGGGAGGAAGAGTGACCCCAGGCCAAAGATGTGGTTGCAAAGACAGAGAGAGACACCCGGAAGAGGAAGAGAAAAGAGAGGTAGCACATGGGTCTAAGCAGCAGACATCTGAAAACTGGTACCTAACGAGGGAGGACCCACGAACACAAAAGTGTAAAGTGATCTAATGGATGCGCCAACTCGCTAACCACTGCTAACCCTTTGCTGGAGAAGGGAGAGAGCAGAACAGATTGAAGAATAAATGGAAAAAGGGAAGAGGAGACAGTGCACGTAGATGACTTTTAAAAACACTGGGAATAAAAGGAAGTGGAGTCATCCTTGTGTGCGAGGTCACTGAGGTGTATCCATTTTACGCGTGGTATATATTTCTCTCATGTGGGCCTCTAGTCCTCATGTAAAAAGAAGCACTTTCTCCATTTTTTTTTTTTGCTTTTTGGGTCATACCTGGCCATGCTCAGGGATCATTCCTGGCTCATGCACCCAGGAATTACTCCTGGTGGTGCTCGGGGGACCATATGGGACGCTGGGAATTAAACCCGGGTCAGCTGCGTGCAAGGCAAATGCCCAACCCACTGTGCTATTGCTCCAGCCCCACTTTCTCCAGTCTTACAGCACAAACTAGATTATATAATAAAAACAGCAGTATTATGAAATTGTAAAGAATGTAAGCTACAGCTCATACACGTCATAAAGCTTTTATTTTTTTAAATATAGGAGTACTGCTATTTATTCAGCCACTGATTAGCTGATTGAATTGGGCATGAACTCCACATGTCACAAAGCTTTAACAAAATTCTTAATATAAGAGGAAGAGGGCTGAACTGCATCAGTTCGGTATTAAATTCATTTGCCTGTACGGCTACGGCAAACCTGTGTTCAAAGGCCATGCCCTGTCATGTTACTGACCAGCCTCATGAGCCACACCAGACACGCCTGGGGCGTTACCTGGGTCGGTCAGCCAGGAGGGCCGGGGTGGGGGCGCCAGGACATACTCACCTCCGTAGTAGAGTCCCGTAGCCGTACACATCCGCCACTGTCCCTGATACATTCCTGCTCTGCTGGGGCTGCACATCTGCACGCTGACATCTGCGATCTCCTGGGGCTCTAGCGATCTCACCATCACCATGTTCACATGTCCAAACTGGTCTCCCCCGACATACTTAAGACAAACCCCTGGAGGCCACGCCTCTGCCCCTGAGTTCAAGCAAAAGAAAAGAGTGTTAGGCAGTCTGAGGTCCGGGACAGGGAGCAATTCATTATGCAACTGTAGAAGAGTTCGTTTTCACTTCTCTCTCTGTAGAAGAGTTTGCTTTTTTTTTTTTGACATTTTTTCTTATTTTGGGTCACACCCAGTGACGCACAGGGGTTACTCCTGGCTCTGCACTCAGGAATTACTCCTGGTGGTGCTCAGGAAAACCATATGGGACGCTGGGAATCGAACCCGGGTCAGCCGTGTGCAATGCAAACGCCCTACCTGTTGTGCTATTGCTCCAGTCCCCTCGTTTTTTCTCTTTCTCTCTGCCCCGTCCCCTCCCCCGTCTCCCTCTCTCTCCCCCTTTCTCTCTCTCCCATACTCCACACAGATCACCCTACCCACATACCCCTGAGCTGTGTAAACTCTCTCCGATAAGCAGGATCATCAGAGCCAACCTCTGACAGTCCCGTCCCTAGGTGATGCAAGTCAAGTCAAAGCAGCAGCCCTGAAAGATGGGCCGGGTCCCAGGGGCCCCCACGCATCCCAGGGAACCTGCACAACCCCAGAACGTGGGCGATGAATCTGAGAAACACAGCAGACACCCTGCCCTCGGGCGGGGGGGGGGGGCAGCTTTTTTCTACTAAGGGGTAATTCGGGCCAATTTTTATTTGAACTAACGTTCAAAGTAAAAATTCAAGGTGAAAAGAAGGGACTGTCCTAGTTTTTCTTCTGAGGGAAGAGAAAAACCCCTATGAGAAGCAATTTTTCTATCACCTTCACTCTCAAACGGCCTTTGCCCTGATAGTGACTTTCACCTGAGTCTTAACTCTGAAAAAGTTGGCGGCTCAAGAGTCCACAAATACGGAGAGGAGCCAGGAGAAAATTCTGACTCCACATTCAAACAGCACATCTGGGGAACAGAGGAACCAGGAGGTGAATTCCCCTGATATCCCAATGCCTTAGGGTGACAGCACCAGCCGAAAGTGCTTGTAGGAAGAATAGGAATACAGAAAGTTCCTGGCCTGCCAAGGTCCCTCTCTGCCTATTCTCATGTAAGCAATTTCCAAATCTATGAGCCAGTCACAGGCGGCCACAGAGGGGCCAGCCAGAATCTTCCACAGGAAGTCCCAAACATACAAGCCTTTGGGCATAGATGGAAACTTGCAGACTGAGGGAAGGTGTGTATGTTCACTACACAAAGCTGGATATGGCAGCACTCTCAAGACAGCATGTGGCCAGAGACAGAGAGTGGGCTGGTCACTTGCCTTGCACATGGCTGACCAACACCTCATATAGTCTCCAGAGCCAGAGGCCCCAAGCACTGCTGGGTGTGGCCCCCCCCCCCCAAAAAAAGGGCCGCATGCTTAAAACTCACCTCCCAATAGGAGCTAAGATGCCTCAATTTCTCTCAAGATGCCAGACGGGTGCTGATATACCTGATAGCTTACTACTATAAAAGCAGCCAGAAAGAAAAGCATGACGTTTCAGCAGAGACCTCAAGTCCCAAGGAGAACAGTGCCCTGTCGGATCCCAGGGAAGAGCAACTGAAATGTGACCCCTGCCTCATCACACTCAAAAGTCTGGCAGAACTTTGCTACCAAGGTCTGGAGGGAGGGCGCTTGACTGGCACACAGCCAACCCAGGTTTGATTCCCAGCACTACTTATGGCCCCTTTGAACCCCGCCAGGAGTGACCCCTGAGCACACTGCAGGAGTAAGTCCTAAGTGCTGCTAGGTGTGGCCCCAAAACAAAACAATTTAAAAGTAAAATACCATAAAGGGAAACTGCTGCTGTTAATAGCGAGTGAAGATGACCAGCATATTCCACTGCCCGCTGTCCACCACCTCCCTCTCCATTTCTACAGCCCGACAAAACCATGTCCCAGGTAAAAAGCATGAACAACAGAAAGCACCTTAGGAAACCTCTCTTTAAAGATCAGGTCCAGGTGAAGGAACGGGTTATGAACCACCTTATGACTGAAACTGGATTTCAGTCATATGATGTTTTAACACTGTGTATCTCACGGTGATTCAATTAAAAAAATCTAAAAAATATGTAAAGACCAGGTTCAAGAGGAAAACTAAACTGTCACAGGGCTGAACCTACAATGACTCCTTAAGGTGTGCACGTGCACACATGCACATCTGCAATCTGCATGAAAAGCCAAGAATCTGCCTTTGTTCTGAACCTGAGAGTAAGGAAAGCTGAGGCTCTCTGGGTGGAACAGGGAGGGCTGTCCTGAGCAGACGATGCCCAGTGGCCCCCTAGTAGCCGGGCTGTAGTCTGAGCTGTGCAAGAGAAGGAATGGTCACTGCCCTGGGAGGCCGTGTAAGCAGGTAAGTGTGAGCAGACTGCAGGGTCACAGTTACTATGTGTTGCTTTGTTTGGCCTGGGAGGGTGGGGGGTGGGGGTTCCCACCTGGCACTGCTCTGTGGAGGATTGAGCCCAGGCTCCTAACGCACAAAGCATCTGCTCTAGTTCTACACGATCAGTGTTGTGTGTTAAGGGTCCTGACATTTTCTGGATAGTCTATTAATATGACAGTCGGAGGTCACACCTGGCAGTGCTCAGGGCTAGGAGGGATGGGGTGGTTGTGTGTCATGCTAGGGATCAAGCTCAGGGTCTCACACATGCCAGGCATAGTGTGTACCATATGAGCCCAAGTCCCTGGGAAAAGTATCTTCAAGAAAAAGTAGCAAGACTGCCTTCCACCAACAACTGTGTTTTGTTTTGGTGAAGCAAAAAAGTTTTTATTGAAATTTATTTAGAAAAATGTGAGGGGAAAGAAAGGGGAAAGTACCTGTTCGAGAGAATACAGGCTTCTCCAGAGTGGAAATGTGGAAATAAGCAAAGAAACATTGAGACAAGCAAGCAAGATCTGTGATCGGGGAGGCCATAGGCTGGAAGAGCATGTCCCGGCAACGTCGCTTCGTGTCAGTGTGCTATGAAGTGAAGAACCAGCCTTCTGCCAGGCACCGATCCCTCACGCCGACAAAGCTCTTACACTCAATATCATTCTTCCAGCTCTTATACAGCTGTGAAAGGGCCAGAGACACCGATTCTTGATAGAGACGAAAGGAAATCTACATCTGAGAAGTAGAACAAGGCTTCAAATTAAGTCTCCCTTTCAAACTGCCTCAGTGGAGCAAAAGGAGGAAGACTAATCTGTGTTTATGATTTTCTAAGCATCACAGGCACACAATGATGTCTGTAATTCTTCAAATATAGAATTTAATTTTTAAATGAAAAAAAATGGACTGGAAAGATAGTACAGTGGATAGGGCACTCGCCTTGCATGTGGCCAACCCAGGTTTGATCCCAAACACCCCATATGTGGGCAAGGCAGTACCTTACTCCTATACTACCTCTCTGATCCTTTAATTTTCTAAATTCTATTTTATGCTTGGAGCCGGAGGTTCTTCGTCCTCTTAGCTATTTCTTCGACGTTCTTGAAGGCGTTCCAAGCCGCTCTCTTCCTCCTGCGCAGCTCGGGTGCCAGGTCATTTCTCATGTTGACCTCTCGACCTAGGTACACATAGCTGTTGCATTCGGAGATGGTCGTTCCATTGAGAGCAAATGGGGCGTCAGGAACAAGGCTGTTTCTCATAAACATTGTCTTCGTAAGATTCAGCTGTAGTCCTACCTTTCCACACTCACGGTCAAAGTCGGCCAGCATTTGTGCCGCTTGGCTGATGTTTGGTGTTATTAAAACAATGTCATCAGCAAAGCGGAGGTGGTGTAGTTGCCGACCATCTATCTTCACTCCCATTCCTTCCCATTCCAGTCGTCGCATGATGTTCTCGAGGGTGGCACTGAAGAGTTTCGGTGAAATGGTATCACCCTGCCGCACCCCTCTCTTGACATCAACGATCACTTCTTTGTAGAATGGTGAGATCCTGGTAGTGAATCCGCAATACAGCTCACGGAGGATCCTGATGTATTGGGCTTGAATGCCCTGATTGGCTAGGGCTTCAATGACCGCTTCCGTCTCAACAGAATCAAAGGCCTTCTTTAAATCAATGAACGTTAAGCAGAGCGGCATCTTGAACTCCCGAGAAACCTAAATGAGCTTGGTTATTGTGTGGATATGGTCGATGGTGCTGAATCCTTTGCGGAACCCGGCTTGCTCACATGGTTGTCCTTCATCTAGTGTTCTGCCAATCCTATTCAGGATGACTCGAGTGAACAACTTGTAGATGACAGACAATAGGCAGATCGGGCGATAGTTGCCAATGTCATGGATGTCTCCCTTCTTGAACAGTAGTACGGTCCTGCTGGTTTTCCATTGAGATGGAACCTTGCATTCAGACAGGTAGCGAGTGAAGAGCCGAGCCAGTGTATTGATGAGTACTGACGGCAGGTTCTTCAGGTGTTCAGGTCTGACCTTGTCTGGGCCGGGTGCTGTTTGCTTCTTTACTGACGAAATGGCGTGTCGGATTTCGGAAGGGAGAACGTTGGGAACGACATACCCATCCTGTGGAATTTGGTATGTCGGCAAGTGGACATGGCTATCGAAGAGATTTGAGTAGAAGTCATGGATAATCTTCTCCATTGCCATTCTGGAGGATGTGATGGATCCATCAGGACGTCGGAGGGCAGTCATCTTGGTCTTATAGTTGGCGAAGGACAGGCGGGCGTTACGAATACTTTTCCCGGCTTCTGCCGCATCTACCAGTACTTCTGCTCTTCTCTCTTTGAGGTCTTCCTTGATCGCATCTCTGCACTGCTTTGCAAGCTCGGACGTTAGCTTGCGGTTGCCTGAGGCATGCGCCAAACCACGCTGGCGAATTAGCTCAAGAGTTTTCGAAGATAGGCGACTTTTTGTGGCTATCTCTCTCTTGGCGTTCCTCGCACATTCATGGAGGTGCTGAACCAGTCGATCGTATTCCTCGTCAATGTTGTCAACAATGGCATCTTCCCATGTTGCCGCAATAGTACCAAAGAGTTCCCAGTTGGTGGTCGTTCTGGGAGTTCTCTTTTTGAACTTTGCAGCCCTTTC